GGGGGGGGGGGGGGGGGGGGGGGGGGGGGGGGGGGGGGGGGGGGGGGTCAGAGCGAGAACTGTCTCGTCTAATACTTAGCGGTGTCATCGGATAAGGATAGAGGTAACAGCACGTGCACCAATACACGTTTAACCGCTGCAAATGCATCCACTGGCTCTCGTTGTACGTGAGTGCACTTGATTTTTCCTTGAGATTGCGGCTGTTACAATGTTGCCAGGCTAGACGATCACGTCTGTCGTGTCTGGTGAAATGAATAGATCGTCTCCTCGGCGTTGTTCTACTCGACTCAAATTGTACAAGTCATTTTATTCTGTTGAGAGCATTAATCAGAGCTTTTGGGGGTTTAGTCACATTTACTGACGCGATTATGCGATTGCAGCAATTTTTTCTTCTTTTTCAACTACTTTTGCTATTTATAAAGTGTGTTTCACTGATTATGTCATCGATGTAAACTTTATACCTCTCTACATGATTGGAAATTCATTGAAATTCAATTGACAGTTGTATTTGCAATTTTTTTCGTTGGAATTATTTTTATGGGACGATATGTTTTATTCATTTTAATGGACATTTCAGGTGAGTTTGTCGTGATCTAACGATTAATGTTGCTAAAAGTATTGGAAAAGATTTTTAGCTGACCGGAGCAGCGATCGTGCTGAATTCAATCGGCGGTTGAAGTACAGTCATTTAGAATTGGAGAAAAAAATTACGGATAATCTGGAAGTTTTGAGTTTCATATCTCCAACAAAATGTAATATGACGCGTTTTCAAATTGCAGGAGTGCAAATCATACAGTCGTTGTCAAATGGTGGGCGTCACGAGGGGAAGGGAAATAATCAGGTAGCTGTCACTCAAAGAAAGTACGAGTGAAACTTGCTCGAGGAAACTTTTCCTGAGTCTATGAAATATTCAGTTTTTCAAATGGCTATTCTCATTAACTTTGTACACAGTTTGAAGAGTCGCAGAAGTCGACGCTACAGAAACAATTTTACAAATCGAACCCTAGACCCTAACGATGAACCCTAACTACAAGATTATTGTTAACGAATCTCGTTTGGAATAAATGAATCATTCTATCAGAGTACGAAAGAAATGAAGACGATGAACTTGGGAAATTTTTTGGTCAGTTGGGTACGGATTATCGTCAGTATTCATTTTCGAAATTGTTCACAATTTTACAATCGTCAAATTTTTCAGTACAGTCAGTGAGGGATTAAAGGGCGAAACAATTTCACTGAGGTCGAAATTTCAAGAAACTTCTCGAATTACCTCAAAATGTATAGAATTTCCTAGAATTTTGATAGATGGCGCTGTAGATAAGGACCGTTTCCCAAAGTGACCCCCCATATTGAAACCATAGACGTATCCACGTCAAAATTTCTCTCCGTGTAGAACTGATTTTTCTGTCCCTACAAGACAAGAAGTAATCTCAAACGCTATTTTAAGGTCCTCTTAAGATCGTTGTTCTCGCACCGTACGCCACCACCCATAACACGTGCAAACCGGAAGCCAGTACAATCAAAACGTGAACAAGTCCGCGGTCACTGGCAGCTGTCGTCTGAAACTATTTTCGACAAAAATCTAACGTCCTCAACTCCATCATACCATGAAATCACTGCCGCCAAACACTCGGCCGAGAGAAAAGTGCATTCGAACATTGTTCTCTCCAGCGCGCACTGCACCTCGCAGGTATGCTACCACCCTGAAACCCCAGTGAAGATGTAATCGATTTAATAACCAGTCAGAAAAAGGGGCAGTCGATATTCCAATGAAAATTTATAATAAGGGGGTGCGCAGATGTCCACTTTCGCAGCGATTGACTTCCCAGAATTCCGAGCAACACAAGGGACTGCAAATATTTTATCGTTTCTCCTTCGACTCTGAAATTCGTGAGTCTTCTGTCGATTACAATTGCACTGCAATACACAGACGCAGGTGCACAATTGTCTGCCTGACCCTTCGTACTCCCCTCCGCTGCTGGAATATTAACGTATTTGTTTCGCTTCATTGCAATTAGTACACCGAGAGAACAAATTATAACGACTCGAGGAGGGGAGCTCGGATTTATGGAGAATACGGAGTTGTGGTGTTTCCATTGAAATTAATAGATAAGTCTGACGATCACTGTAGGAAGTAGTGTCTTCAGGACGACTTGATTTGAGACGTTGCCTTCGAATGTCTTGAGATAAGACTCTTCCGTCATTTCCGTGTCTTGAGAGACAAGTTGCCGAATTTAATGCATTTAAGAACTGTTCAGTCGCCAGTCAGTTATGACGACAGCTCAACATGAGACATTTTTGGTGATTGAACCATTTTCTCCTATTTTCAAATGAATAGACTACACACTGAGAAAGTATAACAAGTAGAGTTCTGATGGCAATGAAACCCTCGGAGGCTACAGAAATGCAGAAATAAATTTTTTTTTTTCACCCGGAGCCAAAGTGTCAGATCTTGGATTTTTCCAGGGGGAAAGTCGACTTTCGGCAAAATCGAATTTTTCCGCCGAGTGAAGGTTGATTCTGTATTTTCTGGCCCGCCTAATGCCACTGCGCCCCTCACTTGCCCCAGAAATGCAGAAATAAAAAAATTTTTTTTTTCACCCGCAGCCAAAGGGCCATATTTAGGCTTTTTTCGGGGGGAAAGTCGACTTTCGCCAAAATCGAATTTTTCCGCCGGGTAAACGGCGATTCTGTATTTTCTGGCCCGCCTAATGCCACTGCGCCCCTCGCCCCAGAAATGCAGAAATAAAAAAAATTTTTTTTTCACCCGCAGCCAAAGGGCCAGATTTTCGGTTTTTCCAGGGGGAAAGTCGATTTTCGCCAAAATCGAATTTTTTAACCGGGTGAACGTTGATTCCAACTATTTAAGCGACGGGCTATTCAGAACTCTCAAAAGTATGTGGAAAAAATGAAAACTGCAAAAGTTTTTTTTTTAAAATTTTCAAAGGTTCAGATTTTCCGTTTTTCCAGGGGGAAAGTCGACTTTCGGCAAAATCGGATTTTTTCGCCTAGTGAACGTTGATTCTGTATTTTTCCCCGCATTTATTTATATTTTTGGATATTTCATGTTCAAGAACTTTTTGTGTGTGAACATTGCGAAAAACAAAGTTTTCACTCCCTTACTACTCGGAAATTTTTCGTAGGATCGGGGGAGTCCCTAAAAACATGCTCCAGTAGAAAATGTTTCTTTTTTTTTCATTTTTCAAGTTGAAAAAAATTGTTTTTTGTAAAAATGGCTAAAAACGACCTCCCCAAGAAATAATCGAACCCAAATTCCCTGAAACAAAAAAAAATCCCCCCGAAAAAGCCAGTTATATCAATCAATTTTATGCAAATGAAGTCGTCCCCATTCATTTTCCCCGATCTACATTTCATTAATCCCCCGGTCAGTCCCGAAGCGAAGAAAAAGTCATTTCTCTCAAGTGTATTTATTCCACATGTAATTGTGCAACGGGCATAAACGTTGTATCATAAAACTTTACGCCTGGCATGCTCGTTAATTGGTCAAAGCCACGGGTTCTCATTAGTTTATTATCATCAAAGACAGCTAGAAGCCCAACATTTTGCCGACTAAGAAAGACTCCATAATTACCCAAAGGCAAATCATTCTGAATGTGAATTCATGGATTCTCAAACAGCCCCAAATGTCGATGAATTTCATTACCCTCATTTTCATTTCATTTCACGAATCACTGGTGTTCGACTAACGAACCAATGCGTCGAGTAATTATGAATAAATGTAAATAGATGTGGGTAATTAATTACCGAAGGCAAAGGGTTTGCAAAAGAGAGACGGCGCCGTACGCAGTCAACCACGCCTCACCAGCAGCCATTTTGAATGCTCCTGGTGGAACACTCCCATCGCTTTCTCAAGGACATTACTCCCTGTGCATTATAATTAACAGAAGAGATGATTCTCCGACTCGTACTGTTGTTTCCCAATCAATTAATGCCCATCTTCATCAACAGCTAACAACGAGATACGTGCCATAGCCGTGAGGAAGGCCAGAAAGATGATCACCGATACTGGTGATGGTTACTACAATGAATGGTACACAGCAACAGCTGGCAGTGGTGCACCCACGTATTTTGGCCAACCACCGCACATCGGCAGTTTTATGCATCCCCCTGTACATCTAGGAATCCCTCATTTATTAAATGCCCATGTTCTTGCCACAAGAGTACCATCGAGTCCACCAGGAGGACCAACCACGTAGTCCTGGTGAGTTACACAATCACATTTTTTTTATTGACTACTGATTTGCCCTTTCAGATATCGTAAATTATTGTGTGCCGCGAGTTTATTATCATCTGAGGTATCCAATTCCATCCTGCTTGACCATTTGGGTCAACATTTTTTACGAGCATTTTGAGCAAGGTCCACTGGCTGTGATGATCAATGGAATGAAATTCGTTGAATTCATCATAAATGTTCTCGGGACAGTTTTTATTCCATTATTTTCCTTTTTCCATTGGCTGTGATGACTTGGGGGGGCTCTAAGGCGGCGAGAGTCAAACGATTCGGCGGGATTTTTCGGTGACCCACCACCCTCTACTAGTATTTCATTTTTTTATGGGTTTTTTAAATATTTCTCTTGTGAATAACGATGGCCAAATGAATGATCAACGCTTCGACGGATTCAAGTGTTGAGTATACGGTTTGAGGAGTTTCATCCACGTTTTTAAGAGTCATATTCCTTGAACTTCAGTTGAGGTGATGAGGACGGGGGCGGAGAAGGGGAGGGGAAATTATATGACGAGAAAAGGTGATGGCTCGAGAGAATCCCGTCGTGAACAGAGTGGGGATTAGTTTTCGTTTTAAGATCATAAAAAGTTGGCTTCCTTCTTTTGTCTGAACGTGAAAAGGATGGAAGTTAAATCTATAGTGGGTTTTTGGTATAGTACAGTTGACTAGAACTCGTAATCGCGAATCCAGTCGGGCATAAAAGAGATTTCAACCTATAAAACGCCCTTACTTTCAGCGTTCTGTGCTATTGGATAGTTGAGTATAGATTCAACGGTTAAGTTTCTGGAAATTATCCTTCACGATTCTTCTTGTTTTATGGGTGTGTGCGGTATGTATTCTGGTAATTATTTTTGGAAGGGCTTTTGAAATTGTTTTTTAAATCGGATGAACGTAACTTGTCCTTGTCAGGGAAAAAATTAAATTTTCGTGGACAGTTGACTAATAATTTTCGAGAGTGACATTAAATTCAATTTAGAGGAAAAAAATCAGGAAATTACAGATTTCTGAACTGAGCCAAGAAATTCTCATTTCACTGTGAAGCGATAAATTTAGTGATATTAGGTCATTTTTCCTCGCAATTCACTCAGTAAAATCGTCTATTCATCTCAATGCATTTGGATTCAATCCAACGAATGAATGAACATCAAAAATAATAATTACTCACTATACTTGCATATAAAACGTGTTATGTATCGGGGTACAAAAATAACTCGGCAACACTGTGAAATAAAATGTCTCGCAAACAGCTTCACTCCTAATGAGACTGTATTCTCAAAGTAACCCCTCAACTTGGGAAAACTTGGCACCAGTGGCGACAATAAATCCACCAAGACCTGTCACACACAGCCAATCTCAATCTCCCTGAGATGTCACTTGAATCGACAAAACCGGACCAAAGACCACCATCAGATGCATCCATTAACCCCTCAATGAAAGAATTTCGCTTGCTAAAGTGGTTCAAGAAGAAAAAAAAACCATGGAAAACGTTTTATAACTGTAACGTCGAATCCCACCTCAAGCACATAAGACTCCTCTTCCGGTAATGATGCCAGGGCCAATAAAGAACTGAATTTATGAGGTTTTCAACGTCAAAACTCATTCCTCACAGCGAGAGTATGCGCCTTGGAGCGAAGGAATGATAATCCCACCGTAACGGATTTGCACAAAGGTAATAATATGCATTTTGAGAAATAACAGAATTGACTTCAGCGAAATTGTTGGATATTATTACGTAATATTGCCATAGACGCTCTCAGATGAATGCAGCGTACATTTAAATTGACTGAATGTTTGACTTTAATGAACAGAATAGTCTGAATGGCCATAGCCTGAAGACAATGCAAATTGTCATGCTTTATTCTTTCGTTCATGTGTTTTGAAAAGTAACAGAATTGAATTTAGCAAAATTGTTGGATATTATGACGTAATATTGCCACAGGGTCTTCCAGATGAACATAGCCTACGTTTAAATTGACCGAATGTTTGACTTTAATGAACAGAATAGGCTGAATGCTCATAGCCGCTAGACAACACAAATATTTAGATACTTCTCCTTTCTTCATGCGTTTTGAAAAGTAATAGAATTGACTTGAGCAAAATTCTTGGATATTATGACGTAATATTGCCATAGAGTCTCCCAGACGAATACAGCATATATTTAAATTGACTGAATGTTTGACTTTAATGAACAGAATAGGCTTAACACTCATAGTCTAGAGACAATACAAATCTTCATACATTACTCCGTTCTTCATGCGTTTTGAAAAGTAACAGAATTTATTTTAGCAAAATTCTTGGATACTATGACGTAATATTGTCATAGCCTCTCTCAGATGAATATAACTAAACGGCCATAGCCTGAAGACAATACAAATCTTCATGCTTTGCTCCTTTCTTCATGCGTTTTGAAAAGTAACAGAATTGACTTTAGCCAAATTGTTGGCATATTATGACGTAATATTGTCATAGAGTCTCCCAGATGAATACAGCATATATTTAAATTGACTGAATGTTTGACTTTAATGAACAGAATAGGCTTAACACTCATAGTCTAGAGACAATACAAATCTTCATACATTACTCCATTCTTCATGCGTTTTGAAAAGTAACAGAATTTATTTTAGCAAAATTCTTGGATACTATGACGTAATATTGTCACAGACTCTCTCAGATGAATATAACATACATTTAAATTGACCGAATGGTCGACTGTAATGAACAGAATAGTCTAAATGGCCATAGCCTGAAGACAATACAAATCTTCATGCTTTGCTCCTTTCTTCATGCGTTTTGAAAAGTAACAGAATTGACTTTAGCGAAATTGTTGGCATATTATGACGTAATATTGCCATAGAGCCTCTCAGATGAACACAGCATCAATTGAAATTGACTAGTTTCAATTTTGATGTATTGGAGAGTCTCGATGCTCATAGCCTGAAGACAATACAGATCTTCATGCATTACTCATTCCTCTTCACTCAGGAAAAAAGGCATATTCTCCGCTGTTGGAATCAGACACAAGGGTCCAGAGAGACCATTGGAGTGGGACAGAGGGGCTGGGTTCTTGCAGTAAGCAGCATCAATGTAATCAGACAGGCCGCTTACAGCGCATTTAACGACCGTCGTAAACGGGGTTCCTCGGTTTACAACCATCTTGCATACATATACGCACGGATAATCTTTTTTTACTTCTCAACTGGACTCCACCTCCTTCATCCCAATCTCCAACCCTCGTTTCCACTCGACTGTCCTTGTTCGTATTCCCATGCAGCTTATTCTCCTGTTATTCTTACAGTTTATCATGTTTCTCTTGCTGGAGTTTTTGGTTGAAAGACGAGTGCTTCATCTCCCCTCCTCCGAATCATTTGGCTGCTGTAAACTATTTGATTTTATGGGACAGGCCACTACGAATTTTGGAGAGAGGGTCCTCAATGTGCGAGAATTCACGTCATTTGGCTATGCTGTCTTGCTTTGTAAAAAGTTTCGCGATAGTGTATTCTGATTTTTTGGCTTGAATGGCTTAGTTTCATTGAAATTTTAACAAATTTCGTCACTGGATGATCAAAATTTTATGGAGATATCGATGGAAACTGAATTTTAGCTCAATTATTCCATGAAAATTTATAGAAGTTGGGAAAATTCAGCGCAAGTTGATCCTGAATATTCATTTTTTGATTGAAAATCAAAGTAAATTACGAAATTCTCATTTTCCTGCTTTTGGAAAAATTCGGAATTTCATGGGATTTTCAGGACAATTCGAAATTTCAAAACAGAACAATGATGTGCACACAATTTCACTGTTACGTATATAAATAAATCTTCACTGAAGAAAACAAATGTTGCTTTAAACAAAAACTTGTGGGTTTTTTTAATGTTTAAAATAACTATCTACGTGTATGCAGCATCATAACATAATTGAAATGAATATGTCGAAAGGAAGTTGCAGCACACGAGTGTCACTCCTAATGTGCAACAAAATAATTCACGAAATGAATCCTCCAGCCAAATAAAAAGAAAATGAAGAATGAAACTAAAGTTTGAATTTTGTCCCGCTTGAGGGTTGAGCCCACGAGGTTTTTAGTACTTTCTAACCACAGTCGTGGGCTACAATTAAACCACCATAAACTTTGTCGTAACTTTTTAAAAGCAATCGCCGCGTCTGCTCTGTATAATAACACACTCCTTTTTGTCGAGGGGACCGGGGTTAAAAATATGGAGGGTTATTGCATTCGTAATGATGCGGCGGGCGTCAGCCTACTTAGGATCAAATATTCCTCATTCAGTCTGTGTTTTTGACTGCTTTTGATTGCCTAGGCTAAATTAAAAAACACATTAACTAAATTGCCACAAATTTCTAAATATTCCACTCAATAGCTTCCAAAGTCACAACAGTTTTCTCAGAATCTTTCTCATGCAACTATTTTCCCCCACAATATTTAAGGAACTTCCGCAATAAATTTTGGGGCTATGGAGTGGGGGGGAAATATCAAAGGTTCCGACACTGCTGCATCGAATAATTCAATGCTAATGCACTCCCGACTGCAATCAATCCAATAGATCTTGTTATCTCCGCTAGTGCAAACACTTTACAACCACCTGTGTACAGCCGTACGACCAAGCAAACACTATTTCAATGACGGAATTTCAAGGAAACTTGAATTTCAGTCTAATTATTCCGCGAAAATTCATAAAAATCAGGGTACATCCTTTTGTCCTAAATGAAGGAGTTAAAAATATGAAATGTTACCGCATTCCTCATTCAGTCTCCACTTTTGACTGCTTTTAATTACCTAAACTAAAATTAAAATACACACGAGGAAAATTCCCGCAAATTTCTAAACATTCTTTTCAGTAGCTTTCCGTCAATCACATCAATAAATGAAAACAAAGTCACCACAATTTCCCCGACATTTTTCTCGCACAACTATTTTCCTCCGCAATATTTAAATTGAATCCAAGAATAATTCAATGTTAAT